GCCAGTAAACCAGCTGTCATTGTTGTTTTGTTAATCTTAGCACCATCTAATCAGATCTGCTTCTTCTCCCTGGTCGGCTTATTGTTACTGTGCAGAGAATTCAAGCTCATAAAACCACTGGAGAGTTTCTGAATAGCTGCATTCATGCAGAGCATTTTATTCTATTAATATTCACAATTATAAGCCGTTCATCCTATAATCTTTCCTTCTGATTGCTGTTTTCAGACATTTCTCTTTCGACATAGAGCCAGTCAGACATGTTTACATACATCACTTACAGCAGCATTGTAACATAACGTCATTCTTATCCCCTGTACAAAGACACGTATTGTTGTTGCATGTTTCATTCAACCGGCTGAAAGGTGCATCCAGCTTATAGGCTATGTAGCTAATTAGCAGATCATCTGTAGCGCACTCAGTTTAGATGCATGTGATCATGTGGTGCTAATTCTTTGATATCACTGCTGACACAATGCTCTTTGTCCTTGGCTTCTAATTTACTGTCACGAGTAAATTTGCTTGTAATTCAAAATGGACACTGACACAATGAAAATAGGCATTTTTCAATAAATAATTTTTTAAAATTAAATAATAACAGTAAAAATCTCATTGAGTGTAAATCACTAAATGTGATGTAGGATGGAAGTTAGATTCAGACTCATGCAGCAGCATCTTCTGATTAAACACAGTTGCTGTTCAGCTCGTGTACGAACCATAAAGCCATAAAGGGGAGAGTCCAGGTGCGGCTGTAAAAACAAACACGCCAAAGACACAATCTGCAGTGTTAACTTACTTATTCTGCACAAATGCATATTTCATAATTTAATGAACTGTAACCACCATGCTTTTAATAAAACGTCTATTTGATTACTTCACCCCCCCCATCCTGATAGGAATTGATCGGTTATTGGTCAGAGCTCACAAAAGAAACTGTCAACAAACTGTTCCAGCCATGTTATTCTTACATTTCTGTTTGTTTATGGATCAAACAAATGTAAAAGTTAATGAGCTTCAGATCAGGTCATGGGTGTGTCTTTGGTTATTTTGACAGAGCCAAGCTAGCTGTTTCCCCCTGCATCCAGTCTTTATGCTAAGCTAAGCTAACCACATCCTGCCTCCAGCTCTGCACTAACTTTGAGAATAACACTGATAATGTTGTTGGCATGTGTTAATGGCTGGTACTCATTAACCATGATCTCATTTGTTTGCAGTAATCACACCAGGGCAGCAGCTCATTTTAAACTAGCACTGAGCAAACAGTTGTACACAGAGCGCCGTTCACTCTTTGATACCACAAAGTACATTTTCACCCGCAGCCGAGCCGCTCCCAGGCTTTATAGTGACTGTGAACATCTATTCTTACATATATGAGGTTGCAAACAGGCTGCACAAGTCCAGTCCAGCTGTGGAGATGATGTATCCAACATCTGTAGTATCACAGTCGGTGAGAGTTTCTCACCAGTAGCAATATATTTTACATCCACCAGTGAGTCTGTACGTACATTGAAGCACCGGACACACAGCTGCATTATTTCTTCAACTTGTATTACGTGTCCCTGATGCAACACAGTTCAACGCGCTGAAGGTTCCTACATAGTTACTGAGTAGGAACCTTCAGCATGTTGCACTGTGTCGCTTGAGGGACACGTCAAAAGGCCAGGGAACAACGTGCAGCCGACTGTTGGGTTCTTGTGTTGATCCTCCAGATGTTTACGTCGTACATGTCGACAACAGAACATTCAGCCACGAATCATCGAAGAGAGAGAAGAGAAAAGATTCTGCATTCAGAGGAAGGAGAACAGTCTGAACCAGAATCACCTCCTCACGGTCGTATCCCTCCGCCACTCAGACTAGTTCCAGGTTACATCCCTGTTTAGTCAGAGAAAACATGACTGGCTGGCTAAAAGTGTTTTCTGAGGTCACTGTGACCTGACCTTTGACCTTTGACCACCAAATTCTAATCAGTTCATCCTTGAGTCTGAGTGAAGGTGCTGTGGAGCGCTGTGAGCTTTTGAGCAAGAACAAAAATCAGAAATTCATTTTCCAGCATAATGATAATAACAATAATAATAATAAGTGGTTGCTCCTCTCCTGCTCTTAGCCATTTTTATTGAGTAAATGTTGTCATCATTTATTTACTTGGTATTGATCGACCTCTGTGTAACAGTGTTTGTCTCTGAGTGTTGTGCAGTGAAACACTCTGAAAACAGAAATACATTCACATCTCTGTCAGCAGCCTGTAGTGCTGTGCACGGTGTAAATCTGTGCCGTGGTGACCTGCAGCCTGCGGCCCTTCCCCTGTCCGGGGCTTAGAAAAGTCTCAGCGGCGTTATTTATGTTCAAGGTCGTCTCTGCTGCTGCTGCTGCTGCTGCTCGTCACTTCTTATTATGCAACCTCGCGCCTGCCCTTAGGTTTGCCTCAGTTTGACAAAATGTTGAATCAGACACTCGGCGTTCTGCCTCAGCGCGTTGTGTGTCCGTCCACACAGCGGCAGCAGATATGGAGTGTCTGTCGTCACGGTGACACTAAGTCACAGAGGCTCTTGGTAACCTTTGTTTTTATTTCTGCTCTCGTGTACGTCTGGCTTATGTTCTGTTATGTGCGTCATGATTGTCTCCGATAGACACAGCACATTTTGGCGACCCAATCAAAGCACCAGCTGAATCACTGACTCAGCATCATGTCCTGATGACATGGCTGAACCTCAGGTCAGCTCAGTGCGAGTCCCTGCCAGTGAAAACAAGAGGATCAGGACTTTAACCGGCAGGAGTGCAGCAGGGTCTTTGTGAGAGTTTCTCTCATTGTGCAGAGTGATCACACCTAGAGGAGAGGAAAGGGAGGGAGGGGGGACTGTTTGTTCTGAAAACAGGATCTGTGGACTCACTGATCACAAAGGTGAAAAGGTTTCTGCTCGTGATCTCACCAGCTCTTACGTGAGACGTTCAGTCGAGTCAGGAAAATGCTTGAGCAGCAGAAAGAGATGGATTAGCAGGAAAAGTGAAATAAGGATTATTGATACTGGTGGTGTCTCGGTGGTCTTATATAAATGTATTTGCAGCCTGGATTAGTCCATGCTGCGTGTGACACGCTGGATAATCTAGTCTTTAAAGGAGTAATAACAACATCAAGCTGCTACAGTGAACAATCAAAAAACCACGAGACAATAAAATGAAATAGTATTCCTCCCTGTTTGAAGTTCATTTGGAACGGCCTCCACATCAACAGCACTCCTCCTTCATCTCCCGCTCTCCTCTTCGATCTACACTCATGACAAAGTCAGTGGCTGCAGCCAAAAAGAAATAAGACAGGATCTGTTTTTATCCCAATTTTATTTTCAAGATTTTGATAAAAACAAGCAAAATCATTCAAACTGGAATCAGCTCCTCACGGTCGTATCCCTCCGCCACTCAGACCAGTTTCAGGTCACATCCCTGTTTATCCAGAGTCAGAGAAAATATGAACCATATGTTTGAAATTTTGTCATAATTGCTGCGTGAAGTCTTAAGTAATGGCTCAATAGTGTTTTGTGAGGTCACCACATCCTTCACCTTTGACCTTTGACCCCCAAAATCTAATCAGTTTATCCCTGAGGCCTAGTGAATGTTTTTGCCAAATTTGAGGAAGTTCTGTCGAGGCGTTTCTGAGAGATCGAGTCCACGAGAATGAGACGGACGGACGGACGACTGAAAACAAAATGGCTGCTGCTCTGACTGTCGCCGGTGCGTAGGAATAAAAACGTAACGCACGGAGCGTTCTGGAGTCGTAACAGAGCTGCTGTAACGCTCAGCTGCTGCAGCAGCAGCAGCAGCAGCAGCAGCACTTCACTAATAGCAAAGTCTGTTATGCAACATGATTTTCTGTGTGGCTGATTTCGAATTAGTGGGTTAGAGGTGAATGAGGTCAAAGCATTGCCACCCACTTCATTTCAATGTGTTGCACTCAGTCAGTTTAGCATATGGTACTGCAGAATAAGTGCAGTGTGTGTGTGTGTGTGTGTGTGTGTGTTTTTCCCTGTAAAATAAGAAAGAGCTCAGACTGGAACTTTATTTCATTCCCTTCTTGTTACTAAATTCTACATTTCTTCACATTAGAGGCCATTTGTAAAGAGACTTTAATCCAGAATAAATACTCCTTCACTTCTGTCACAAGCGATGTTGCTAAACATTTCCTCTTCAGAGCCAAACGACGAGAGGAAAAAGCTCTGGTGCCTCTCACAAATTTATTGCTTTTTATTGCGACGTTTGGTCTGAAAAATGACTTTAGAATTGAAGGGATAAATGTTTATTGGGCAGTAAAAGTCTCAGTCTCAGTCTCAGTGCGGGTCAATCAGATTCTCTCAGTTTTAAAAACACTGAACTTGCCGAGAGGAAATGTGCTGCTTGTTCTGGTCGGCTGATGCCGCTCGCGTCTCGTGTGTCGACACTTATCCGACCGGCCTTCGCTGTGTATCTTTACTGTGTAAAACCCTTCTCTTGACACGATGTAAACATGCCTGTCCATGTTAAACACTGTGTTCTCACCATGTGGCAACACAGTTTGACAGCAAACCAAACTCATCTTAGTTCTGCCGTTTATCAACCAAAAAAATAACAAAATACATCAACAATTCAATAGTGTTTGAGCTGGTGCAGAGACAAGGTAGCTGCTAACTGCTAACTGCTAACGACCATATGAATTTAAAATAAACCAAAATGACAGATTTTTTTCAAATTAAAAAAAAATTCAAATTAAAAAATGAAATAATTTGCAATATGATTTTATGTTTTGTTTTTGCATCTAGTTTTTTTTCATGCACATATTTAAAATCTGTGTAAATGAAGTGGACGGTGACACACCTACTTGCAGCTATTCAACAAAAGTCGTGTTGCACTGTGACAATTTTCAGCACGATTGTCTCATTTTCCTACAAACAAACACATTGTACAGACAGTATAATACAGTAAACACACCGTCACAATGTCACTGTGTAACTGTAAAACTTGTCTCCTTCTGCTTCTAGCATCAAGCTGCTGGCAGTGCAGGACCTGCTGGAGCGGGAGGCTCTCGATAAGGTAAAGTTGGCTGCTTTGATTTGCAGCATTCAGCAACTTTAACTCAGTGTTTCCCATTTATTTAATGTGTTGCTGTTATGCAAATGTCCCATTTTTCCCTCCACTCACCCTGTGTGTGTCTCCGACTCCCGAGTGTAAATGTCTTCTATTTCTAGGCCCATATTTGGGTTTGAACTGTGTTAGCGCTCTCCTGTGCTTTCACGACTATAAATATGACAGTGGTTGCTATGGGTTGGAGGGGATCCTCTTCAGCACTGTCAGGGAATCAGGAGATATTGGATTAGACTTTGATTCAGATTGTTTTTTTTATTCAATAAGGTGAAAACATGCTAAAAGATGCAGAAGACAAATGACACAGGAACAGACAGTAAATCAGACGCTGTAGCTTCCAAGTCGTTCAGCAACAGAGAACGTTTGTGCTCTACTGTCGTCTCCTTCACCTTATTAAACCTCCATCACTTTCATTACTCATCTAATGATAGGAAAAATAATAAGATAGCAAGCTAATCTTACTCCATACGCTACATACACTAGACATGAGATTCATATTGTTCTTCTCATCTCAGTCATGGAGAGACAGAAAATGAGCGTATTCCTTTAGGTGTGTGTGTTTATGGCAGATATTGATGAATAGGCCCCGCCCACTGTCATCAATCAATATGGCACTTGAGATTTTGGTTAATATTTGCCCCAAAAACATGTGGAGCACATTTGGTGAAAGTCTGCCCCCCAGGTTTTTAGGTTCACATTTTTGGTGTTTGTGGCGCCCCCTGTGGGAAGCCACTTTTTGAACTCAATTATTACTAATGACTGTATTTGTTTTCAGTTAGTAACATAATTTTAGTTACTAGCTTCAATTTAAGTATTTAACCTAAAAGTTTAACCTGAATTACATTCACTACTTATTTGCGGTAATATTGATAATTATCCAGAGACTTCCTTCTCCCTCTTAAAAGATTTCCCAGGACTAAAATTAGAGTCATTTCCAAATGATGAAACGTAACCAACAACTGTCTGGTCTCTGTGTTTATTCGTTGAAATCCGACAGTAATTTCTCTCTCTCTGTTGCAGTTCTGTGTGGAGTTAAACCAAGGAACGCTGTCCAGCATACGGAAGTGGAAATGGCCACGAGGATCATGGAAAAGTGTTGTGTCTGAAAAACCCACTGGGCGCTCGGGCAAGGTGCAGCAGCCTTCACCATCATCACCCAGAACAGTTACCAAGCTGGCTTTTTAATACTTATTTATTATATCGTTCATACAGTGCAACACAAAATGCTTGACAGAATAGAAGTGATGAAAAGAAAGTCACCCCACCCATTCTCTCTCTCTCTCACACACACACACACACACACACACACACACACACACACACACACACACACACACACACACACAGGGATAAAAACACTACTAAAACTTAAGGCAGCAATAACAGGAACTGAGGAAACGCTGAAGACTGGAAAACAAAGATAACGATGGAGTGATAAGGATGAAATAATCAAATATAAAAATATAGGCCGTGTCTGGCAGTGAGTAAAACCATAAATGAAAAGTAAGATATTAAGAATCAAATAAAAATTAAGATAAAATAGTAAATAAAATAAAATACTAAAAGAGATGTTTGGAAGAGAAAACAAAAATAAAAGTAGAAATAAAATAAATAGAAGTTGGTTATTAAAACAAAATAATTAAATAAAATAATAATAAATAAATAAAATTCAGTTAAAAGCCAGAGTAAAAAGGGAGGTCTTGAGTTTGCTCTTAAAAACAGAAAATAAACAGAAAATCTTGCATTTTGACAAACGATGACTGAGCCTTGACTTTTCATCTTGAATACATCTGAGGATCAGACGAGCCAACACAGAGTACTGTCATCCAGCAGAGGCTAACTACCACTAGAAGTACTGTACGTACTGAAACATTTGCATGAGCAGTTCATTAGTACATAAAATAACCTGACTCCATTTCCCATGATCCTCTATTCCCAGGGAGTGAGCTACTCTGGTTTTCTGTGGGACACCTCTTCCGGCATTGACCTGAAGGATGCTGCCGTCCTGGAGTCTCCCGCCGTCAACGGCAATGGGAATCACACCTCCCCTCGACTCTACCTCGCTCACTTCTTTGTGAGTAAAGGTTTCTTCTAAAAAACCAGGCTGTGGTGGTTGGATGAGGAACGTCTGCTGATGTTGGCCTGTGTGTCAAAGCACAGACAGTATGTTGTCCTGTCAACGTCATAAGTGGTGTACAACCTAAAGATACTCTCTCCCTGCTCTGACACATTAATTAAGGATTAATCCTCCATGTGTGAATGTCAGAGAGGCTTTCTATGATCTGTAGACACTTGCAGTATGTGAGGGTTACAATGAATTCAGTAATAGTAACTGAGTTTTTGTTATTGGTTTTTTATTTTTACATTTGTAACTGTATTCTGATTGGCTGGTTTGCTGAAGTCTAAAAACTGACTTTGACGACATAAAAAAAAAGGTTGACCTATTTTTTAAGGTACAGTTTTAACTTTGCAAAAGTTAAAACTGAACATGTCTGTGAGAGATGTTCCCTCTAACTATTATAAGCTTGTTGGTACAATGCTAATACTAAGCTGCATATCTCGTGCATGTGTAGATCGCCATGTTTTGTATCTTATGATTTTGTGTAGTTGATGTTAAGTTATAATATTTCTTGCCCAATGTTTTCCATTAGGTCGGTTCATATGAACTGACAGTGGTGAACGTCCACATGCAGGCCGCCGCCGCACCAGGAGAGTCCAACGGCAAGAACCACAACACAGAGGAAGTGAAGTGTCAGCACCTCTCCCCGAGTATCCAGGAGACACTCAAAGGTCAGTCTGTTCGGTTCCATCCGAGAGCAACTATTCTGGACTCCACAGCACACACGCCAGACTCTCTGGATTCACTCAGTTTAACAAGAGCGGAAATGTTGGATCACAGCTTCTGTGGTCTGAGACAGATCACGCCCGGTGCTTCCTGCATGAAGCTAAATTATACGGATTTCCTACATTTACTCCACGTCTTTCTCTGCAGGTGAGAAGGAGTTGGTGGTGCTGGGAGATTTTGGCTGCCCCCCTCTGAGCTCAGAGCTGGACATACTGAGAAAAGAGAAGCTCTGTGCCCTGGTCCCATCCACCCAGTTCACAAACATCAGCACCCGCTCACCGCAGGGCACCCACTGCCTGGATAACATCTGGGTCAGCCGCTCCCTCAAGAAGATCTGCTGTGGTAGGTGTACAGTATGGATGCATTTAAAGGAATTCATAAGAGGTCCAACTCCAGGCTCAAAGTCACTTAATGGAAACAAATCTACATCAAGTCTCAAGCTATTTGAGAAAATTCAAAGTTGAGTCTGAAGCCGTTTAAGACAAGTCAAAGTCAAGTCTTGAGTCGTTCGCAAAAAGTGTCAAGTCAAAGCTAGTTGATACAAGTCTTCGTCAATTCTCAAATTATTTGAGAGAAGCCCAAGTTCAATCTTGAGTAATTCAGGTCAAATTCAAGTCAACAAGTTCAGTTCAAGTCTCAGGTTATTTGAGACTCATCCAAGTAGACATTTTATAAATCCAAAGTTTCAGTCAAAGCTGAGTCTGTAAGTTCAAGTCAAGTCTCAAGTTAAATGTTTTTATTCAAGTTAATCAGGTCCTGAGTTCAAGTCAAAGTCAATCAAAGTTTTAAATGAGTTCAAGTCTTTGAGAACTCTGAATGCTGAACATTAGGATGACACGGCTTTAGAATATATTTTTTTGGACAACAAATTGGACTCAAAACTCCAGTGTTTAATGATTTTCTATTAAAGTCTCAAGTAAATCAAGTCTCAAGTCTTCAGTCCGACTCCACCTGGTGATCAGTCCAGGATTCCTGCTTTTCTTTCTTGTTTACGATGGATGAATGTTCACACCCGACTGGAATGAGCTTCTTGTGTCTCATGATAGTGGGATGTGAACTACAGCAGCTTCTGTCAGATCAAACTTCACGTCAGAGTCGGGCGGAACAATCAATCGAAATATTATCGAAGTCGTTATGTGGCAAAATTGAATTTCCCAATGATAAAAAGTAAAGCGTGTCACAACAGACCATTATAGACGAAGCACTGTGGCGCTACAGAGGTGCACAAATCACATTCTCCAGATGGAAGGAAAAAAGTTTGTGCGGTCACATCATCATTATTTCTATATTTTTACAGTGAAAATGAAATTCAAAAATTCCCACTAAAATCGTGACTCATGTCAAAATTATTGCAAAATATGTTGTTGTTGTTTTGCTTATTGTTCAGCCTCTCTGCCTCTCTGCCTCGTCCTCTGACAGGCCACTGCGTCGTAGTGCGGGAGGGCTTGACGAACCCCTGGATTCCAGATAACTGGTCGTGGGGTGGGGTGGCGTCAGATCACTGCCCCGTGGTGGCGGAGTTTTACGCCGATGTATCCCCCAAGGAGCTGAGCAGACCGGGTATGGCGGTGGACAGAAGAGACATTATGCCCAAACATGAGCGGTGACGACATGACGACATCAGAATGACTTTGTCCTGTCTGGGTCCTGCTCAATCTTGGTTTGCCATGAATGAAGAGTTTCCTGATGAATGTGAAGAAGCACCAAGATTGCCTTTTTTGCGTTTCACTTTATCAATGTAAAATAGTAAGTGGTGTAGAAGTCATAGAACCATACAAAAGTCAGAGAAAAAATATATAATGTACTTTAAAGAGAAATGTGCCAAACATTTTCTATATGTATATGAAATAAAGATAAATTAATAGATGTTCCTGCTGTGTCTGAATGATAATTATTAATGCAACTAAGTGCAGAATCATCTGAATGACCCAGTTTATCAGGGGCTCTGCTGTAACACTCATCTTTTCTGTCAGTGAGGAGGACGATAACATCTCAGCTGTACAGCTCATTAATCATTATGGGACCTTTAAATTATGTAAGCCCGGCCTCTTTGTGCATGTGTGAGCCGCCATCTTCCTCTGTGATGGAAATGAGGTGCAAGGCTCCTCATTAACCAGCTCTGCGCTAATGCTTTCAACCCTCTCAATCCCAAATATCACGTTGTCTTTAGAGCCTCATAACGCCGCGATGGTCTGAGTTAGAGACGTGCCGTTTTTTCATGTTAAACTAGAGAATCTATAAAAAGTCGCTGACTTCTATCGATTAACTAAAATGAAAAATTAGAAAAGATTTCTAGTGGTCATAACAAGGGCGTAGTTTTGATCTCAACATTGGTAGGGACGCAACAACCCCGCCACCCCTCCAAAACAAAGAGATAGACTTTTTAATGCCATCAACCCATATCCTGATAAAAAGCTCATAATATCATAGTATAGTAAGGCATTAAATGTCAAGAAACGTCATAGTATAGTAAGACATAAAAAGCTAAGAAAACCTACATATGATAAACGAACAGTATAAAATGACAGTTCTGTGTTCAGGGTTTTAAACAGAATATCAAAAAAAACACAAAGTCCATGATGCAGTGAAAAACTTTTTCTGGTTGGTGGCAGAAGGGGCATTTAATGGACACCCAGGGGTTAATCTTAGAGAGGAAGCTGTTGACACAGCGCTCCCTGCAGGATTCCCGGCTGCAGGTCACCTGACCTTTTGTTTAAAAGTGGTTTATACAACAGCATCCTCACTGGTTTATAGGCATCCTGCACCTTCAGTCTCTCTCTCCTCAGCGTCCTCTCTCCCACTCAGCTTCCTCGTTCAAAGCCTGAACACAGAGCGTTCTCCTTTAACATGTGCAGGTCTACACATGCGGCGGCAGCAGTCCTGGTCTGAGGCCCAGCTCAGGAAAAGGATCCACTTCATCAGGAGTCTCTGTCCGTTGTGTCTGTTATGTCGGAGATTTCATTTGATTTTCTTTTAATTGTGAATTAAATTAATTGACAATTGAACAGGCTGATAACTGGTGAAATCATCACAGTCCCAGAGCCGGTTAACTGTTAGCTTCATACCACATTTCCTTTCAAATCTCATGCTGATCATCTTTGATGTAAATTGTAAAACAAACTGTAAACTAGTGCAGCTATGTATACTGTAAAAAGAATCCTAATTTTATGGAAAATAACTGAAAATTTTACAGTAATTTTCTCACTTTACATTGTACTATTCTGCAATCTTAGAAATCGTTAAATTCATTCATCAATGAACAATGCCAACAATGCTAGTGCTAATGAAAATGGGGGGCAGCTCTACAGTGCACACGTACATCACTACCATTATAGTCATTACCATATACTACAAGTATAATATATCATTGTTAGCATTATAATTAGCTACTAATGCTAGCAAGCTAACCCCAGCCATCTGTGTTCTGTTTGTCCTTGTTTTTTTCACCAATAAAGAAATAAATAAAATAAATAAATAAATAAAATGCTAATGCTAACGGGAGCAGCGGCTAGCTCGCACCCCCAGATGCGGCCTTGTCTGAACGACTTAGCCCCCGACTCAAATTAGGCTCAAAATGATTTTGAGCTTATAAAGTGATGTTTACAAATAATTCCAATATTCGTAAATCAAACTTTGTAAACCTGGAAAATAAATCTGCAGGAGAAATTCAAGTTTGTGCATGTGAAAACAAATTGTGCTTGTGACAAAGAGATTTGTATTTGTTAAGACTATGAAGCAGAACTGAACAAATGATCAGTCGTGAGGTTCAACAAAGACACAGGGAAAGAAGAAATGCTTTTGTGGACGTCTGTGTTCAGAGACAAAGAGCAGACAACTGTAAAACTCAGTGAGCAACATTCCCAGAGTGAGACACTGACAAGTACAAACTTTGATCCTTGTCACTTCAGTGTCACTGTGGGAACTTTGAAAAATGAACACCATGTTGTATTGAAGAAAACTTCAAACTTGAGATTCAGACCAAAAACACATAACGAATCAAATGCTGGGTGTCTGCACTCCTCACTGCTACTCGCTCCTCTGTTTCCTGGATCATTTTAAATCTGATAAATTTATATTTTGAGCGGATTTGAGTTGTAGGGTTTTAATGGAGAACTGGAATATTAGGAAAGGTCGGACGGAATCTGTTTGGTCACCTAAGAGAAGTTCAGTGAATTTATATCCTGCAGAAATATCAGGTAAGAAAACATTTACTCTATTGTTTTGGTGACGTTGTTTGTGTTGATGTCGTTTATTTCGGATTAAATAATGCTATAGACGGATAAACAAATGTCATTAAGTATGTGTGTTTATACTGCGTCATTAACGTGTTAAAGTGAAAAGCTAACTGTGATTAGCGCGCTAGCCATAATAGCATTTTATTCAATGTAGAAGCAGCTAATTTTACTGTGTGTTGCTAGTATGTGTTAATGTTGTCAGCTGGTTTAAAGCTTAAACGAACTGATGAGAGGTAAATGAGTGAAGTGAAAACTGTCTTGTTCACACTTGTACACTTAGACAGAGAGGTCTTTTTTCCATCCAGTGCACACGTTGTATTTCATTTTATATTTTGTACAATGACAATGAAGATGTTCTCTCTCTGTTTCTATTTGTGTGTCTGTAAGTTCTTCCTTAAAGAGGACCTGACGCCTCAGTTTGCTTTATTGGCAGGTATTTTCACTTCACAAATTATCAAACACTTCACCAATGGAATTAAACGTTAACAACTGGTGTTGATTTTGACCAATTCTGTGACATGTGACACCTTTAACATTAAGTATTTGCTGTTTCAGATTCACCACTGCAGCTGGTCAACAGTGCGTCACGCAGTTTGTAGTTGAGGGTTCTCAGGTCACAGTCGAGTATCCCCCATATCCCAGTTTTTCATAATTGCTAAAACACATTTCTTGAAACCTTTTGTCGCTTTTCTCAAAACTGTAAAAATGATAGTTTGCAGAAACTTGTCCTGCCGTCTCATCACACATTGTTTGAGGGTTGAGTTTGGCTGGTTTTGGTGGAGGGGCTGCCGTGGCAGACAGCCAGGCTCTTCTCAGGAAACCGGGGCAGGCAGGGAGTGGTTCCTCTTTCCTTATCTGCTTTCCTGACCTCCACTCGGATCACTGCACTGTTTACACCCTTCCTACGCTGACTGGGGATCACATTAGCAGTTCACACAGTCAAGACTCAGCTTGAGCACAAACCCTCACAAACCTCACACCCATCTTCAGATGGATGGTTGTACTTTCACAGCACATTCCCACAACTGTGAGAAAGTGAGGGATCAAAGACTGGATGACTGAATGTGACTGAAATACACAAGCACAAGAAGTAATAAGTACAAGATCATGGTGTTTTTATCTTCATATCTTTGACACTGGGAAAAACAAGTTTAATTCGTGGGCAAGACTGAACTACACTGAGGACACTGAGAAATTCTCCAGAGGGAAATCAGGCTGATAATTTGAGAGCCCTGTTTTAGAGCAAAGTCACATTATCATTATCATTGGGTTCTGGGTTTTACCAGCACTGAAGGCCCAGAGTGTCACAGAAAGGCTGAGAGGAAAAGCTAAATGACTAAGCTAATCAATTAGCTAACAGGAAAAGGAAAAGCAGCTGGAAAAGCAGATGGAAACTGAAGGGGGAATCCAGGTTTGTATTGTTACTTTTTAAAATATTTTCAAATAGTTTTTCAAATTCATTCATGAATTAATAAATGTATTTAGTGGTTTATTTAATGGCTTTTTAAATCTTAAGTATTTATTGATGGATTAATCATTCATTTATAAATTCTTTTAACAATCCCTGGTCCTCCAAAACTACGACACGGTCCAGGTTTTGACCTCGTCTTGTTTGGAGCTTCTTTAGCAAATTCTTGTAGCGATCAATATCAGGGTCAAACTGCAGAACATTTGGATTTTAAGTGTCTTATCTCTCTGATTCCTCCCTCATTAGCTTTCATCTGAACGTTCATAATAATGCAACAAAGGCAGGAAGGGCGTCTTTTACCTTGGAGGGCAGCTCTAACTCACACATTAACCAAGAGGTGGAGAACAAACCTGGAGCATGGAAGACTGATTAACAGCTACACTGATAAAAAGAATCAAAACACTTTATTCCAAGTAAACCAACACATGAATATCAACACGCTGCCACACCGAGTGCGGCAGTGAAAGCTGGTAACAGTCTCCAACATGTTACCCGTTTACTGTGCGTAAAAATACTTCAGTTTCAGATTCAATCGGAGCTCTGTCAGTGTCCGTTTGAAGTGGAAGAAAACGACCAGTGAGGTGCATTCAGACGCCGAGCTCTGCTCAACATGTATCTGAGGACGGACACTCGACTGGACACGCAGCCAAGGACTATTCCTGCTGGACCAAATGGGCCTGTCAATCAACAGATCCACACATCCACCGCAGCCGTCTACAGGGAGCTATGTTGGTGAAGTCACAGCTTCCTGCAGCCAATAAGTCTCTCCTCTTACGGCCACATGGAGCCACTGAATTTAAAATCATGTTTATTCTTTTTTGGTGTATCCACGTTCTTTCCCTTTGCTCCTAAGTGCTAAGCAGACAACTACAGAATGTTTTATCACAGTTTAACTTTAAGCTTCAAAAAGGCAATTTTCAGTCATGAATAATAATAATTCTATAGGGTCCAAATTACAGTCTGTTACCAATTCTGTTGCCAAACTTCTGGACTAAACTCCCATTGTGCAACATGGATACTGTCACTGCAGGTGCAATCAACAAGTTACACTTACTCTCGTTATTTTTGATGTTCTTTTTTGAGTATTTTTACATGAGTAATTTTAGTCTTTAGTATTTTTATTCCTCCGCGCCGGCGACAGTCAGAGCAGCAGCCATATTGTTTATATGTTGTACGTCCCTCTCATTCTCGTTGACACAATATCTCAGAAACGCCTTAAGGGAACTTCTTCACATTTGGCGCAAACATTCACGAGGACTCTGGGATGAACGGGATTAGATTTTGATGGTCAAAGGTCAAGGGCGTGGTGACCTCACAAAATGCAGTTTTGGCCTTGTGAACGCGATATCTGCGTAACACCTGAAAGGAACTTCTTCAAATTTGGTAAGAACGGTCACCTGGACTCCAGGACAAACTGATTAGACTTTGGTGGTCAAAGGTCAACGTCACGGTGACCTCACAACACAGACTTTAGTGGTGGAGGCATACACGAGGCGGTAATTCTAGTTTCTCGTTAATTCTAGTGATGTCATAGGGAGGTGGTTGTATGTTTTGCATGTACAGGCTGCGAAGTGCCCGTTACAGAGGGAATGTATTGTATGTAAGGACGTATTTTTACACAAGTCATTTTATTTCAACTTGAGTAAAAACAGTACTTTTCACTGAATAAAAATATAAAGACTGATTGTTTCTTAACAGAGAAGCAGCACATATTTTAACAAATTACAGAAAGCATCGTTTGCTCATCATCCCTCTTTAAGACGTCAGTGCTGCTCTTCAGTGTCACTGTACTTCAGAAGGACTTGAGAGGGATGTTGGCATCCAAAGTCCACAGAGCAAAACCAGTCCCACTGTCCTCTGGGAAACACTGGCTGACCTGAGCAGTTCCACTGGGATGATCAAACTGGACAGGAGTTGTTGTGCCTCTTTCACAGCAAACACAATGAACCAGCAGACGGTATGCAGCACACAGTTCCCACGCAGCCTTAGATCCAGCTCACGTTTTATAGTTCCCACTCTTAGTACATCATCTCTTCTTCTTCTGCTGCCGCAGCGTCTTTCTCCTCTTCAGGATCATGGCGTGCAGCTTCTGCAGACCTTCCTGTAACCCCTCACCGATGATCGCACAAGAAGGCTGAAGATGCCAGGGTGTGGCGCTGCTGAGCTCGCCAAGAGCCAACATGCTCTCCATCTCAGCCAGACTGAGCGAGTTCCTCAGGTCCTGTTTGTTAGCCACCACCAGAACTGGCACGCCCTGGTTCTCCGCCAGTCGTGTGATCTTGTGCAGCTCTGTCTTGGCCTCCTCGATGCGCTCGGTGTCCACCGAGTCCACGACAAACACGATGCCATCAGCGCAGCGCGTGTAAGAGCGCCACAGAGGCCGCAGCTTCTCCTGGCCACCTACGTCCCAGAAGTGGAAGGACACTGTCTGCCGGCCACCTCTCACTGACACTTTGATCTTCTCTGTGTTAAAGCCCTTAGTTGGGACAGTGTTCACAAACTCATTGAAGCGTAGGCGATACAGTACGGTGGTCTTGCCCGCACAATCCAGTCCGAGAATGACGATGTGAAGAGCCTGGAAGGACGGGAGGCAGGGGAAGAGCGAGTGATGATCTGATAATCCGTTCCCCATCTTGTCATACAGAGCAGGAGAAGTCGTCACCAAATATTCACCACGTTGACTTTATTCCACCAGGAACAGCAGCTCCAGCCTGGCGGGGTCAACACAGCACGCATAATGAGTCAAAGCACACAGACGCCCATCACCCCACTGCCTCACAAAAGACCAAACACCCAACAAGTAAGTATATCCCCATCTCCCTCTGGACCGCAGATCCTTACATTATCCTGGTGGCGAGAGACGCATGAGAAATAAAACAGCAGCACATTTGCACATGTAGTGCCACAGCAGCCAACAGGGATTTCATACGCTAATTTCTATTCAGTGTGTGAATCAGTTAACAACAGGATGAAGGCTTTTGAATTCCACTGAAATCCCAGATTTAGCTGATTATCCAGTCTTCAGGGGCTGATCAGAGGAAGGATATTTTAACAACAACACCCCAGCAGACTGACATGGAGATATAGCTTTAAAAAAAAAAAAAAAAAAAAAAGGTGTTGCTTGGCAACACAGACTGGCTTGACTCTTATACTGAAAGGATAAGATGAAAGGATTTCAATTAAATCTGTAAATGAATAAATCCTTGTTCATCTGCAAACACACGTCGCAAAGCAACCGTGACAGAAGATATTTTGATAAATGACATACATTTCATATGTGCAGTTTGCATTTAGGCATTGGGTTTACAGCCTGTTGTGCAGTTGTGGAGAGACAGGACTCTGTCAACAGCTGAATGGTCACACTGTACTTTGGTCTATTGTTACTCCATTTATTTAGTCTATTTATTCTTTATGTGGATGGATTCGATTGCAGAAATGGGTTCTGGGATTAATAAAGTATTCTGAATCTGAACAAACAGTGGACACTTTTGTGGATGTGGAAGTTTTAGTTTATAACCCGAATTAAGGATTGAGGAAATGTGTCCACACTCATAAGACAGATAAAACCTGTTCATTTAAGAGTTTTTTTAGTGGAGTCTGATATTTATATTCCTTTGTTCTAAGTTCAACATGAGGACAGTCAAAGCTTGTTCATTTTTTTCTTTTTAAATGGAGTCTGGCATTTCTCTCTGGTTCTAAGATAAACAGAGTCAGAGCCTGTTAATTTAGTTTTTTTAATGGAGCCTTGATCATAGTTTTCTCTGGATCTAAATTAAACATGAGAAGAGTCAAAGCCTGTTAATTTAGGAGTTTTTAAAATGGAGTCTGGCATATAGTTCTTTGGTTCTGACCCTAACACCAGACCAGGCTGGATTGGAGGCTATGATGCCAACAAGTGTCCATAAAAAAAAAAAAGATAACATTTAAATCATAACAATTAAATTGGTTTCATTCGGCCCAGTGTGGCTGCACATTTACATAAACCCTTATTATATTAACGTTAGATGAAAACAGAGGAACGGCTAATAAAATTAATTTTAGCTGCATGTGTCGCCAAATATAATTTTAACAGCAGTTATCACGTTGTGTTCTACACTGAAAGCACAATTCATAGTTATTATGGTGAACTTACCGTGACCGACAGTGTTAATCCATCACTGACAGTGAGTCCGTACAGGAAGTGGATTATCGGTTCTCGCTCTGATCATATCCTTCGATGAACTGAGACACGCAGCTGGAAAGACTCCCTCTCCATTCTCCTGGAGCGCCAAGCTGCACAGAGACAGAGCTGACGGTTTTCAAAATAAAGCTTCAGAACAACTTCACATCATGCACTTGTACACAGTCTGACTGTTCTTTCACAATAAATCTCTGTAATAAAGATAATCTGTAAATGAGGCTACTATTTAAAAAGTTTTAATATTATTGGCGAATGTTTTGTGTTTGCAGATATTCTTGTAGGGATCACACACAAAGATTTTATGAGTAGATTTATTTTTATTTTTGGGGTAGAGGGTTTCAGTTTTCCTAATTCAGTTCCAAAACATAAATATACTACAATTTCCAACCTCAACTTTAAACTTGGAAAAGACTTGAACATCCTCCTCCAGTGTCAGATATTCTATCTTAAATGTTTCCTGGCCTCACCCCAGTGTTTAATTGTAGTTTGTGTCAATATAAAATCTAATCATGTCACATTTTCTTGTGGCGGACACGCTTTAGTTCAAAACGCACTTCACGTTTATTGTGAAGGAATGATGATCAGTTTTCCGGTTTTATTCCGCCCAACAATGATTGACTTGACGCAGCTCCACTTCGCGGTCTGATTGGCGGTGGACAACGCCTGCCACGGTCACGCGCACAGTTGAACGCGCACGTTCACGCACGTCACCTGTTTCTATCACTCAAACAGAGGCAACTTCCAAAGAAGATCCTGGATTGATCTGGATTGAGGCCACCAGCCATTTTTTATTAACTTGAAAGTGTTTATTTTATTATCTAATTTGTCCATGTCTTGAACAAGCCTACTACTAATAATACAGTGCAATACACAAAGCAGCACTTACTTATCATAATAAAGAAAAAAATAATTTAAAGGTTTAAAATTCAGTTGCTCTAATAGATAGATAGATAGATAGATAGATAGATAGATAGATAGATACTTTATTTATCCCCTAGGGGAAAGTCATATAATAACTAATGCTAATAACCCCAGCATTACACTAACTTACAGCACTGAGGATGGTTACATTTCTGTGAAATTAATTTTGCTTGATTGATTGAAGGGACATTTTTATGCCAGATTTTTAATAATAATAATAATTTCAATGAAATTATTTTTAACACTTTTCATAAGAGAGATGCAGCTCAAAGTGCACTACAATAAAATAAAATAAAAAATAAAAAAGTACAATAAAATAAGGGCGAATTGAAGGACAATGAAAACAGACCATAGAAAGACAGTAGATGATTAAATATGAAAATGAAAATAAAAACACTTAGAAAACTAGTAAGAATAGTAAAATATGAGAGGATCAATTAAAAGCCAAGTTAAATAAAAAGGTTTTCAGCTGTTGTTTAAAAATGTTCACTGAGCATCTCTTACAGCTCTTAGCAGGTGTCAAATACTGTTTCCGGCTCTCGACTTCCTTGTTCAATTTTCATTGTACAAGTTGGATAATGGAACAAATTGATGCTTTGGTGCGCTGGATTGAATTGCATGCAAAGCGTTAACAGCGTTTAGGAATCATCGGCTAACGAACAACAAGCTCACAAACGTCAACATACATTTGCACTTAGCACAAGTAGGACAATTAAATTAGACAATACCCCCTAAACTGGCATTTTTCATTATACAACATGAACAACTGCAGAAGAATTATTGCCTAATAACCCTAACCCTAATATTTTGCAACAGTATTATATTTTAAATGTTTTATTTTGATATACAAATAGCCTTTAGTTTAGGTACAACAAAGAATTGTCCAGAAGAACCAAAAATCTAAATGATTCTCAACAGCAAATAAGAGAAAAATATCACTAGTTTTTGTTTTTGCAACAAAACCTCAAGGTTTCACAGCTGTACCTGCATGTTCTCCACAAATCATCTTCATGTTCCACTCTGACCTCATGTGGACATAAGAGGTAATGACAATGAAATGAGAAAAATGCTGAGTTGCTTGCCCACAGCTACAGCTAACATGAGTCAGAACCACACAGCTAAAAACCAGAGAATCATGTCTCTTTAAATATAACTTGTTTAACACCTATCATGCCGGTGGTTGTTTGACGTGGAAATCTACTGACTTCAGTATGATTCTGAAATAACATCTATGGGCTCAGATAAGGATCAATGTGATATTTTAACTTATGAAATTATGTTCAGAAATAATTTCAACCTCTGTGGTTTAAATTATTACTTTATATTTAATATATTATACTTTATATTGACATGACATTGGTCCAATGATAATTTACAATTTTTTATCTTCAACTCTCTACCTCTTTATTGTGAGTGTGACAAACCAGATAAGATTCATACAGGAGTCACATATTAGAAAAGAAATTATAACATGTATATAGCGCACTACTTTAAACACATGATTGAAAAATATCACATTTTATTTACGCCAAAATTCTTTTTTTCAGATTTACATTTCCTGAAATTCAACACAGAATGTGTCTGTATTGATTCTCAGTTGTTTTAAAACAGTTACCTCTTACTGCCACATGAGGTCACTACTAACATTTGAAACTTATTTCTGGTGTAAGTGTTACCACACTGTAACCTTGACCCCTGGCTGGGAAAAGCTCACCCCTGTGGTGGTGGTGAAACGAGGCCGTGACCCTCCCATCTTCAGAGGGTGGTTCCTGAGCAGGGTCCTCTCTCACTGGGACTCTGTAAAACTTTAACAGAGATGAACTGATGAAATATTATTCTTCATATAATCAGTGTGTTAAAAGAAATAAGTTCAGTGTCAATATCCTTAGGACCTGAGGGCACTAGAAAGTGTTGATATTTTTTAAAAGCAAACTCAAGACCTACCTTTATATTCTGGCTTTTTATTGAATTTTATTTATTTATGCTTCTATTTATGTATATACTTTAAGTTGTTTTACTGGTATTTTATTATATGGTTAAACTGTTTTCCTTCTAATACCCTACTTTTATTAATTTTATTTCTAATTTCATTTTTAGTTGTATTCTATTCCAAACATCTCCTCTCTTTTAGCATTATATTATTTTATCTTTATTTCTTTGTCTTAATTTTTTGTGATTTTTAATATCTTACCTTTCATGGTTATAATGGACCAAAAACATTGAATTTTTCCATTTCTTCCCCCATTTCTCCATTATAATCATGTATATCTTTATCTATTATCCGTCTATTGCATTTCCGTTCTAATAATGCTTATTCGCTGCTATGGCAACATAATGCTAACAATATGGTAACATCATTTTGCTTAGAGCACCAGTTTTGCAGGGGAACTGCAGATCCAGACATAAGTCTCCCCTGTGACTACGGTCTGGGAGCTGAAGCAAGAAAGGTTAACACAAATAATACTCTGCTACTATAATATTATAACATATTCATGTAACACCTCATCAAATCAGCAGGTTAATAATAATAATAATAATAATAATACGATACATTCTTTCTCTCACTATCTGACTTCATTTCCTTTCATTTTATTTATTTTACTCACTAGTTTTAACAATTCCTTATGATAATGAATTATTTTCCACCACGTAGTCCTCCTCACCTCATGTAAACCTAAGGTTGGTAGCTCTTTATGGGAAGCAGTGATTACAGCCTGAACCATCATGATTCTAAGTAACTGGGGAACAAACTTTTTTTTTTTTTTTTACTGCACTAAGATCATAAACCCTTGAATATAAAAACGAATCATTGAAATCGGCAGAGAAATAAAAACATTATGAGGCTTTTCATTCAGAACAAACTGCAGCTCCCTCCTCCGTTTGCTCCTTCTTGTTTACAGGGCAGTGTTCTCCGGTCCAATATGGCGGCGACGTTGACGCAGACGTTAGCCTGCGGCCTCTCGTGAGCCTCCTTCAGGAAACTTATTAAAATTACTTATTATTACTAGTAATTTTAGCCAATTTGCAGTCGGTAGCACTTGTTGTCACCTGTACAGCCTCTTTATCATCGGCCTCAGACTTTCCCAAGATTAGTGTAGTGAGCTTAGTAAACGCTTTGGCCACAATACCGAAGATGGAGCTAGCAACAGGTGAGTCGCTGTTTGGTGCCTCATGAGGTGGCGGTGTTTTCTGGTTAGCTTGTGTAGCATTAGCCGCATCGGTAGCCTTCACTCCACCGTAGCCGGCTCTCTCGGAGCATTTGGCTTTGTTGTGGTATATTGCCAACTTTTGGCCAGATAACTCAAAGAAAATTGGGCTCTTTGTCGGGTTTCAAGGCTAATTAAGTTCTTTTCACTCGGCCATTTTCGTCAACCACGTCACGTGACCCCTGTTAGTCTTTCATTTTTTATTTTCTATTCCGGTAATAACATAAGGACATAAAATAATCAACCAATCAAATTGCTTTACTAACGAATCTTTCATTCATAATCCTCTCTCTCCCTCTCTGGACCTACGGCTTGTAATCGGCTGACTTCAGGTGTTTTCCATAACCAATCAGATTTCGTCACGATCTCAACCAGCCAATCGCGTCGTCGCGGTTTCCTAAACTCTTCACAGCCCCACCCCCTCACGGTCAGACCTGCACTGCTGTTAACGTGACTTCAGTAGAAGTCGCTGTAGCTGTGATGTCTGTAGCTCAGGAGGGAGGACAGGTTGGCGATCAAACCGCAGCTTGTCCAGTTTCATAATCAAATTCAGAAAACTTTATTGAACATTGTCTTAAAATTGGGCGACTCAGTCAATCACCAGATAGTGTCAGCTCTGACAGGTATGCAAAACCCTGGATTTGATTCTGTGACAATGTTTTTTATCATATAATGACAATATTTTTAATTCTTGTTTTCTACAGTATCTGCACCTGGCCGCTACAGTGTGGTTAAGATTTAGTGAAGATTGGGGTGCACAGCAAATAAACTATAATAGTGTTAAGCAACTAAAACACCTGGTTATTGAGGATTGTGATTACAATCAGAGACAGTCAGGGGGGGGTCCACTTTTTCTCCAGGATAAAATGGAGCCCAGTACAGCGCAGGTGATTAAGTGAGGTGTTACATTCTTTACAGTATCTTCCCTGTTTCACTAAATCTGTGTAATAAACA